CTGAGATAATCGCGTGGAAGTTTTAAAATGGGACACCCTGTATAATGTTCGCGATATTCTTTCGAACAACGTAATCAGTGAATTACAATAATTATATATATATATATATATATACAACATTATACGATAGAAAATATATGCGCGTATATCTAGCCATGGAATTCATAAAACAATATTCAGACGATGCTTTTTCCTCGATAAGTTTAGTGTTCAGTCAAAGCCGTAAGTAAAAATTTCAATTTATGGAACATCTGGCGTATGAGGATTTCGCACATAAACTTATTAGACTTTAGCGCCGACGCGCAGCAAATAGAATATAAAAACAGCATTTTTTAAGAAACATGTTTTAAATTAAATGAAACAAAGAATTGGCAGCTGTCAGATTTCAATTGTGTTTTCTGCGTAAATAAAAATATCAAAAACGTATACATGCATCATCTTTTTGCAGATAAAATTAAAAACGAATATTTTGTTCCAAATATATCAGAACAGTTTGCAATAAATACCAATATCCTTTAAATCGGCTTAAAAAAATTTTTCATTATATACTGCAAAATACAAAGCGAACCTGGAGAAAGAAAGGCAATTAATACAAAATTAAAGTACGAGGAGTCAGTCAAAGTCAGTGAACAAAAATAGTGATATTTTTAAAGAACAAGAAAGCCTTACGTCGTGTGATGTCTGTTCCGAAATTTCATTTCCTCTTTTTTGTATCAATGAAGCCACACAAGCGATGTGGTTGACGACAGACATTTCAATTTACTTTTCATATTACGCGCTGTGCTACCGATCATTATTTCGAGGTTGTGGTGTATGCACCGTTCATTTATTCATTAAACAGAAAATTAATAAAGGACTACGTTGTATAATCATTAAACAGAAAATTAATAAAGGACTACACTATAAAATAATTATATGAGCAAAAAGATTATAAAAAAGTATTGTGCGTAGGGTAGACCAGGGCTAGTAGACTCATTTTTCAGTTTCGAATTTTTACAGACAAAATAAAGAGACTTATCGAAAAAATAAATTCTAGCCAGTTATCACATACATGGGAAACTGAATATAATTAGTATGAAAAAAATACATTTTTCTAATGTATTCCGTCCATGTCAACTAACTCCGGGACCGGGGTAGAATGACATATGGAGTAGTTTGACATAAGGCTGCGTTCGAGAAGCGCGCTATCAGCGCCATTTGTGTAACATTATACTATCCTTGTTTCATATCTAATGAATGATGAAGATAAAATGACATAAATACCGCTAATAGCGTCTTTCCGAACGCAGCCTAAGGTTATTAAAATAATGTTTAATATAGTTTGAGCTATGTATTTGACTGTATATTAATTTCAAACACAAATATCGGTATTTAATATAAAATAAAAATCTGTAATTTTTCATATATTGTATCCTTTGTCACTAGATAAATATAACAACAATTTATCTAATCATCATTCGAAGTTCTTGAAAAAGAGCGAAATCTCCAAAATAGGAGTGGAACATTTCATTCCTTTTTTGGAGTGAGATCGCAGTGGATGACAAATTTCCTAACCTAACAAAGATCAACTTTAACGATTAATATCTCGCTTCGCGGGGCAGAGCGACGCTTTTTTTTTGCTAAAGTCATTTCATGCAAAAACACGTCGAATGAGCCTAGTTTCTGATAGGATATGGTATAAGTAACTTCGACAGCTGATTGTATGGCTCACGAGAAATATATATTTGTGTAATTACAAGCGTGGCTTGACTACGCGAGAAGAACGGTATGTATAACACGAAGTATAAACGTGAAGTATAGAAAGTGAATCGAGTAAAAAGGTTGAATGCATGAACGTGTATTTGTGAAGTGTAGATGGCCTCCAATGGCAGCAGGGGGTCCCGCGCAGTGATGGGCAGTGTGGGAATAAAGTGACGCATGCGCACTGAACAAACGCTATGGCTGCTCAGTAATGTATGTATCTGGGTAAGATCTGAGGTATCGTTAGGACCCTAGCAAGGAAGGAAATATGAAGGGAGTTACAAAGAGAAGAAAGTTCCTTTAAACAAATAGAATAAATAGTTAATACAAATAATAATAAAGAAATGTATTTGTTTGTTATTTTTTACGTCTGCAGCTGATTTATTACGTGAATACCAACATTCGTTGCGAGAGTAAGGAAAACTGCAGAAAACCTTACTAGTATTCCAACAAAAACATTGTACATAAAATATATAAAACATGTGAACTTTACCTCTCGCAAAAAATGCACGAAAATTCGTAAAGACTTAGAGCCCTTTACGGGGCACGACCGGCACCTAACGGCTAACTGTCGCAGATACGGCTGTGAAAGCAGCCGACACGCGACTGTGACGTCAGCTTACGCATGCGCATGAACATTCCCATGCGAGAATAATTCCCACACTGCCCATCACTG